GAATGTCAGAGGAGACCTAGTGGAGACTCAGGACTTCTGCTGCTGCTCTCCCTTTCCTCCCTTCCCAGTCTACTGTTCTACCATCTTTGCCCCTACCTGTACCACCCACCCATAGTCAATGGAGGCCCCCTGGGGACCAGGAAAGAGACACTTCAACGCCTCCTAGCCAAAGAGGTGTCAGTGGAGGTCTAGTGGGGAGCTGGAACTCCCACCCCTGCCCAGCAGCAGGGAGGATCCTCTGCCTCAGGTATCGGCTGACACCACTGGGGGAACTTGAACTTCTGTGCCTACCTGAGAGTAACTAGGCAGTGGCCCCTTCCACTGATGGCAACAGTGTCAGAAGAAGCCTACCAGAGATAAGAATTAAATAAGATCCAGAGTCTCATAATATAATATTCAAAAATGTGTAGGATGTACTAAAAAAAAAAAAATCACTCATCATACCAGGAACCAGGACACCCTCAACTTGAATGAGAAATAATCCACAGGTGGGAACACCAACATGACAGAGAGCTTTCAATGATCTGACAAGGATTCTAAAGCGGCCAACATAAAAAAATGATTCAGGGCACCTGGGTGGCTCAGTTGTTAAGCGTCTGCCTTCAGCTCAGGTCATGATCCCAGGGTCCTGGGATCAAGCCCCGAATTGGGCTCCCTGCTCAGAAGGAAGCCTGCTTCTCCCTCTCCCACTCCCCCTGCTTGTGTTCCCTCTCTTGGTGTATCTCTGTCAAATAAATAAATAAAATCTCTTTAAAAAATGCTTCAGTGAGCAATTACAAACAAGGTTGACACAAATTTTTTTTTAAAAGATGGGGCCCCTGGGTGGCTTAGTGGGTTAAAGCCTCTGCCTTCAGCTCAGGTCATGATCCCAGGGTCCTGGGATCGAGCCCTGCATCAGGCTCTCTGCTCAGCAGGGAGCCTGATTCCCCCCCACCTCTCTCTCTGCCTGCCTCTCTGCCTACTTGTGATCTCTGTCTGTCAAATAAATAAATAAATAAATAAAATCTTTTTTTTTAAAAAGTCTTGGCAAAGAAGTAGGAGAGACAATCAAGTATCTAAAGAAATTTTAGAATCAAAGAATATAATAACCAAACTAAAAAAATCAGTGGATGGGCTTATCAACAGGATGGAGAGGACAGAGGAAAGAATCAGTGAACTTGAAAATAGAACCTTAAAAATTACCCAATCTGGGGTGCCTGGGTGGCTCAGTCAGTTAAGAGTCTGATTCTTGATTTCAACTCAAGTCATAATCTTGAGGTCAAGAGATCAAGCCCCACGGTGGGCTCTGTGCTCAATGGGGAGTCTGCTTGAGATTCTCTCTCTCTTCTTCTGACCCTCCCCCCAAGCTCTCATTTTCTTTCTCTCTCTCTCTCTCTCTCTCAGATAAATAAATAAGACTTTTTTAAAAAATTATCCAATCTGGGTGCGCCTGGGTGGCTCAGTGGGTTAAGCCTCTGCCTTCGGCTCAGGTCATGATCCCAGGGTCCTGGGATCAAGCCCCGCATCAGTCTCTCTGCTCAGCAGGGAGCCTGCTTCTCTCTCTCTCTCTCTCTGCCTACTTGTGATCTCTCTCTCTGTGTCAAATAAATAAGTAAAATCTTAAAAATTACCCAATGTGAACAACAAGAGGAGAACAGAATTTTCTAAAAAAATGTACAGTGCCTCAGAGACATGTGGTGACTATCCTCTAAGACTTAACATTTGCATCATCAGAGTCCCAGAATGAGAAAAGAAAGGTGAGGCTGAAAAAGCCGTCAAGAAATAATGGCTGAAAATATCCCAAATTTGGCAAAAGATAAAACCTACTAATTCAAGGAGATGAACAAAACCCAAATGGGATAAACTCAAAGAAACCCATGCCCAGATACATCATAACCGAAATTTTGGAAGCAAGGCAAAGAAAATCTTGAAAAAAGCAAGAAAGAAACAACAACTTACTTACAGAGAAAAAACAATTCAAATGTGGGTAGATTTCTCATCAGAAACTATGAAGGCCAGAAGAAAGTGGCACAACACATTTCAAGTGTTGAAAGAAAAGAACTGCCAACCCCAAATGCTTTATCTAGTAAGTATATATTCCATTTCATTGGAAATGAGGGGGAAGTCAAGACACCCTCAGAAAAAGGGAAGCTAAGAGACTACATCACCAGCAGACCCACCCTAAAAATATGGTTAAAGGCAGTTCCCAAAAACAGAATGAAAATGATAAAAGAAGAAATCTTGGGACATCAGAAAAGAAGAAAGAATTGAATGAGTAAAAATGGAAGTACGTATAATAGACTTTCCTTCTCTTAAGGTGTCTGAATTATGTTTGATACGAAGCAATAAATATAACATTGTCTGATGTGGAGCTCAATATATGTGGAGGAAATATTTAATACAACCATACAATACTATACTGTAAGTGGGACATGGTAAAGGTATTTAAAGGGAGGTGAGCCTTCTATACTTCCCTCAACCTGATAAAATGTTGACAGGTAGATCTCTGTGGTGACCAAATAATTCTGTATCTTTGTTGCAGCAGTTGTTACAGGAATCTCCACTTATGGTAAAATGGCACAGAATTATAGCCACATCATGGGGTGCCTGGGTGGCTCAGTGGGTTAAACCTCTGCCTTCTTCTTGGGTCATGATCTCAGGGTACTGGGATCAAGCCCCACATCAGGCTCTCTGCTCAGCAGGGAGCCTGATTCCCCCTCTCTTTCTCTGCCTGCCTCTCTGCCTACTTGTGATCTCTGTCAAATAAATAAATAAATAAATATTTTAAAAATAATTTTTAAAAAAAGAATTATACCCACATCATACCTATGTCAATTTCCCAGTTTTTATATTATACTATAATTATGTAAGATGTAATCATTGAGGGAAACTTTGTGAGGGGTACATGGGCCCTCTCTGTTCTGTGCAACTTCCTTGTAAATCTGTACTTATTTCAAAATGAAAAGTTGTTTTGTTTCATTTTTTAAGAACGGGGCTATTCTAGATTTAAAATGTTTAAAGACACAAAGGCAATGGGGAAGCCTTGATTAGATTCTGATGTTAAAACCATAAAAGGGAAATTTGGAGAAATTTGAATATGGATGAGACATTTGATGCTCTTGGATGATATGAAATTATTGTTAATTTTCTTAGATGTCAAAATAATATCATGGTCGTGTAGAAGAATACAAGACGTATGCTGAAGTATTAGGGGAGAAGTGTGATGAAATCTGTCACTTACACTTGAATGGTTCAGAAAACAATGCAGCTCCATAATAGATCAATAGAGCAAATATAACAAGACAATACCAGTTGCTGAGTCTATCAGAAAGATATATAAATGTTTATTGTACTAGTCTGTCAACATTTCTGTATGTTTGTGAATTTTCATTTTTAAGAAAAGCTGGAGAGAACACGTGGAGGAGAGACACAGGATAAAAGCAAGTGTAGCAAAATGTTAATGACCATCCAGGTGGCATTTGTTCCCTGTAACTTTTTTTCAATTATCCGTATACTTGAAAATTTTCGTATTAAAATGTAGAGGTAAAAAACTTGAAGAGAGATGGTCGCAACGTGGTGTCTTCCCCCGGCGTTCCCAACACCCTCTTCTCTGATCGACTTTTCTTTCTTTCCCCACAATGCCATACAATACTATACTACAAATGGAAACCTGTGCAGATATTTAAAGGGAGGTGAGGTTTCTATACTTCTTTCAACCTGATATAACGTTGTTCTGTGTGTTGCTAGATCCCCAAATCCTAGAACAGTGTCTGCACATAGCAAGTGTTAGATGAATGTTTGTTGAATCAGGAATGAATTTCTGTATCCCTAGGACCTAGGTCGAGGTCTCGCCTAGAGTAAGTGTGCAACGAATGTTTGTTGAATTGAACTGAGATCTATGTTCTACAGGAGAACTTGGAATAGACCTGTTGTACCAGGATGGTTTAGAGCATGGATGTTTGAATCAAAAAGCCAGAGTCTGCGTCCTAATTTGGTCACTTCCCGCTGTATTAATATCTCTGAGCCTCAATTTCCTGATTGGTAAAATTAAGATAAGCATAGTAGCATCTTGGTAGGGGTTTTGTTGGCGAGTAAAGCACTTAAGACTTTGTAAAGGCTCGATAACTGGTAACTAAGGACAAAACAAGAACAGCAAAAAAGGTAGTCTTCCCTGCATGTCATCCTGCCTCCGGCCCCCAACAGGCTGAGCGGGGGAGGTTAAGGAGATGTCCTTGGACAAATATTCCCAAGTTCTTCTCCAGGTCCCCTGGAATAGTTTCTGTCACTTCAGATCTCTTCTTACCTTTCCTTCCGCCCTGGACTCTCTTTCCTCTTGGCACCCTGAAGCTCTTTCTCCCATCATAACCATGTAGGAGTAGGGCGAAGGAGACAGGAGCCTGTGGGCCAGGGACGAGAGCTTAGAGCTCTCCTTTCCTCCTGTTCTAGGGTTGAGTTCCTCACTAGTGATGGAAGCAGGTCAAGTGTGAGATTGCGGTCATTTCAGGCCTGGAGGTTGAGAGAACAATAGTCCCGAGGAGGAGGCACTGACAGGAGAGTAGCCACATATGCCGCCCTCTTCCTCGGTCCCCTGTTAAGAAAGATCACCTTCCCCGCCCTGCTCCAACGTCCCTTCGGTCCGTTCTGCTGTTTCAAGTCTTTACTTCTGCTAGCCCCAGCTCAGAGCAAGCCCAGGGACCCATTGAGCATCTCCCTGCAACTCCCTCTTGGAAGTGGGGTGGGGTGGAGTGGGCAGAGGACGGGCTGAAATCGGAAATATGGAGGGCACTAAATCGGGGGCTGAGCTCACCCATGGCCCAAATTCCCCATCCCTGTTTTAGGGTCGGCGGCATCCCAGATATCTGGGGAGCTGGGGCTGAGCCTGGGGTCGCCACTGGCTCTGTTCCTTTAAGGAGCCGCTGTTTAGCATTCCTGCCGCTGCCGCTGCCGCTGCTTGACTCTGCACGCTGATTGGCTGGAATCAACTGAGAAGGGAGCCAGGGAGAGATGCTCTTGACTCCACTCAGATCCATCCTGGGGACCAGTGCAGGAGCGGTCCTCTCAGCTCCCAGCCTCTGCCCAGGCTCCCGCTTCTTCTTTGCCGCTGGGCCTCGGCCCAGGAGCCACGACGGGCGACACGGAGCCGCCAGTGCTGGAGGGGGAGCCGTGGGTGCGGGGCAGCGTGGGGGCAGAAGCCCCGGGACGCCCGCCCGGCCCCAGGCCCCGTTCCGCCCGAGCACCCCCACGGGTGCCCCCTCCTTCCTGGTCCGAGCAGTGTGAGTGTGCCCGGGAGCCTGGCGGCGGCGGCGGTGTGGAAACCAGCGTGGGCTGGGGGGTCCGGGCGGCGGGGGGCAGTGCCATGCACAAGCACCAGCACTGCTGTAAGTGCCCCGAGTGCTATGAGGTGACCCGCCTGGCTGCCCTGCGGCGCCTGGAGCCTCCTGGCTATGGGGACTGGCAGGTGCCGGACCCCTATGGGCCAGGTGGGGGCAACGGAGCCAGCGCGGGCTATGGGGGCTACAGCTCGCAGACCCTGCCCTCCCAGGCTGGGGCTACCCCCACCCCCCGCACTAAGGCCAAGCTCATCCCCACCGGCCGGGATGTGGGGCCAGTGCCCCCTAAGCCAGTCCCGGGCAAGAGCACCCCCAAACTCAACGGCAGTGGCCCCAGCTGGTGGCCCGAGTGCACCTGTACCAACCGGGACTGGTATGAGCAGGTATGGACCAGCAGTGGTGGGGGTGGGGGGAGGCGGTGGTAGGGAGATGGTGGGGCAATCCAGGGGGGCTGAAGAGTGGGGGCCTGGAGGCCTGGGGGGTGCAGCAGGGGTTCCTGGAGGCTTCGAGCTGGGGGAAACTGAGCCCTAGGGTTTCACCTGGACCAGGAGAGACGGTTGGAAATGTATGCTTCTCTGTGTGTGTCTGTTTGGGGGTCTCCATTTGGGGGGGATTGGGAGGAGCTGTGTGTGTCAGGAGGTGAAGGTATGGCGGAGGGGCACATTTTCCTGTGGGGGGACTGGGTTTGTCTCCGTGTGGGGGTTTAGCAGCGTCTCTGTGTCTGGCAGGGGGCGGGAGGTTCTGCGGGGGCTGTGTATGGTGTATGTCTCCACAGGAGGGGAGGAGGGGGCACGGTGCTCTGCGTAGGGGGGACATATGTGTGTATGTGTGTATGTATGTTAAGGTGTGTGGAGGGAGGCACTGGAGCTCCTGTGAATCTATGTCGAGGGGGCCCATGTGTCCGGCTGCCTGAGCTTCATCCCTCCATGCCATGAGTCCCTTTCCGTCCCAGGCCCTTTGTGTGCACATGGACATGTGGGGATGTCTCTCTGAACGTGGAGGTGTCTCTGTAGGCGATGCTGCAGGGATAGCTGTGTTTGCCTGTGTGGGGGGCTGCGTGTATCTGTGTGAGAGCGTGTGGCTCAAGTGTGTGCATGTGTGTGCCTGTGCACGCGCGCGCGGGCACGCGCACGCGTGTGTGTGTGTGTGTGTGTGTGTGTGGTGTCCCTGGTGAGAGGCGCTTGACAGGCAAGGGAGGGGAGGGGGAGGAGGCAAGAGACACGTCCCAAGCAAGGCTGAGAGGCTGCTGAGAAGGACGGACTCTTTTGTCCCAGCAGCTCTGAAGTGTGTGTGTGCTGGGGTTGGGGGGAGAAACGTAAAGGGTGGGGGGACTGAAGCAAGCCTCTTTGCTCTAGAGCAGGCATGGTGCCTGGAGGCAAGCAAGGAAGGGACAGGTGCCCTGGTGCAGGACTGGCCCCAGCAGGGCATGGCACCCTTGAGTACCTCCAGATGTGAAAGAACTTGGCCCCCGAGCCCTGACTTGGCAGAGCTCAGGAACCCCTGGGTGCTGGGCACAACTCCGGCTTCCATTCCCAGTCTAAGCTGCCAGCTTAGAAAATGGAAGGAGCATCTGTGGGAGAAGCAGCAAAATGGAGGCTGGGCCGGCAGAGCCAGATCCTTGGCATGCACAGCGGAGGGCCTGTCTGCTTATTTGGCTCTGCAGCCCCCAGGTTAGGGAGAGAGGAGAAGGAGGTTTCGCTGTCGAGGGCAGGTGCTGCCTGCCCCAAGCTGGTGACCATTCTGGCCACCTCTGTCCTCCTCTGGGGATAGAATGTGCTCTCACTCAGAAGCAAAGGTGGGGACCTCCTAAGGGAGAGGAGTCCTCAGTTCTGGCCTCCTGTCTGTCCGTGCTCACTGCTTCCTGTGGCCCTTTCCTTGGCTCCTTGCCCTCTCCAGTGAATCCCCCTCTTTCCTTTTCCCTTGTATCCTGGGGCCCTACCCTTGCAAAAACACTCACTCACGCTTATCCTGCTCAACCTGCAGACAGGTGCCAGTCCCAAGACTGGGCCAGTTGGCCAAGGTTTCTTTGCCAGGGCTGAGCCCCAGATGGCCCCCGGCCCTGGGAGCCGGGTCCCCAAGCAGGGCAGTGGGAGGCTGGAGCCTCTGATGCTCGCCAAAGCTGGAGCTGGCCTTGAAGCATGACTTATCACATGTGGGCACACATGGTACACCAGAGGCATATGAGCGCTGCATGGGTGTCCTTTTGCCTGCATGTCTGTTGCATGTTACTTCAGGCAGCTGTTTTAGTTTCGGGGCTCTGAAAAGCTATCGGTTCTTCCCCTGTGGGATCAGGGACCAGAGTGGGGCTGCAGCTGGGGTCCTCCTCCCAACTCCCAGGGCTTCAGGGCATAAAGCCCCGTGGTCAGGCCCTGAAAAGGTGGAGGCATGACTCGCCAGCCTGCCCACCACCCACCTACGCCCCCCCAGCCACCTCCCCTCCAAGCCAAAGCTACAATGGAAGGGGAAGCATGAGAAGGAGCCCCCATCTTAGGTTTGCAGCTCCCTTCAGAGGAGTACGCCAGGGGTCGGGAAAGGGGCAATGCAGCCAGAGACAGATGGAGGAGGAGGTACCGGGATACCTGGGGAGAGAGGCAAGGGAGTCCCTCCATTCTCGGGGATGAGAGTGGGAGCCGGGGAGCAGGTACTACTCGTCTGCCACAGTCACATTTTCACTTGACAATAGCCACAAGTATGTCTTGTCTGGGAGACCAGCTCTGGGGGTTGGTCAGAACAAAGCTTGCTTCCATCCCCTTCCCTTGCCTCCCCTCCCATGGCTGCTGTATACTGAAGGCCAGGGGCTCCACTGCCGGTCCCTCTGTGGGTTATCAGCTTCTCCCTCCTCTGGGGAACCTTGTCCACTCTGCTCCCATCCCACCCCCAGCTTTGCCTCTGACTCCCACCCAGCTCCTACCCTGGCTTTTTCTGCCGGGAAACACAAAGGGTTAGGTATCAAAGGCCCTTGGCAGAAAATGGATTCGGACTTTGACTCCTTCCACCCATTTGAAGAATCAGGTTCCTGGGGACACAGAGGAGATATAGAATGAGGGTTCCTGGGGGTATTCAGAAGGGTGATCCTTTCCTTTTCTCACGAGTTCTGCTGGGGAAGGGCGTGAGTGGCCAAAACATCAGTGGCCTTGGCAGCTTTATTTAATCAAAAGAGCACCTGGAGATCCAGGTTTTGACCCTGGCTCTGCCACTAAATGCCAGTGCGCTCTGAGGTACAACCTGTGTCCTCCCTGGGCCCCGGTGTCACACCATCCGTCACATGAGGGAGGTTGGACGAGATGGTGTCTGCTGTCCTACCGGTCCTGACATGGTGGGAGTCTGTGATCCCTGAGTCAGGAAGAGCTATGGATCAGAAGGGGAAGAGGTCCCCATCGAGGCCACTGGGTGTGCCCCCATGGATGCTAGGTGTGGCATGGTTTGCCCACTGTGTTCCATTTCCACCAACCCCCTTAGGCTTGCGCTGCACCCCTCCTAAGTGAACTCCAAGGCCCTGGGGCCCAGCCTCTCAGTGAGTGCAACACTAGCTGGCTGGTCCCAGACAATTGATCTGGGCTAAATGGGTTCAGGGCGGAAATGGCTGGAAGCGAGGGAGGGGTGTGGCCTCCTCAGGGTCAGCCTGTCCCCATCTGTGGACAAGAGGCATCCTGGGGTCAATTCGGGCTCCTACTCTTCGGGTGGTGGCGGAAGAGCAGGTTGACCAGGAAGGCAGATGGGTGTGGGGGGGTGGTTCGGGAAGCGCTTAGGGAACTGCCCGTGTCTCCCCCTAGGTGAACGGCAGCGATGGCATGTTCAAGTATGAGGAAATAGTACTTGAGCGGGTAAGTCTGCCAGCGGGTCAGGATGAAAGGGGAGGGGAGGGTTCAGACCAGGAAAGGGAAGCGCCCTGTGTGTACCTCAGTCTCAAGATTTATTGGTGGGAGGCACCTGCATTGAGAGGACAGGAGGTTGGGGGGAGGGAGGAAACAGTGGCCCTGGGAGGCCACGTACTGCATCAATCAATCAACCAGCTCACAAATATTAATTGACCTTGCTCACTGAGGCCTGGGGAGCTGGGGAGGGGGGCGCTTGGCTGGGGCCTCTGGGCCAGAAAGGTTGCCACAGGCTGAGAAGCTGTATATTGGCCTGCCAGGGGTTGGGGTGCCTTCTGAGGACTGGAGAACCTACTTCTGGGGGGTGAGGGGAAGCGGGGGAGATCCAGAACCGTCCCTCTTGCCCTCTGAGTGAGCGGACCATGCCCCTCTGTCCCCTTCTGCAGGGCAATTCGGGCCTGGGCTTCAGCATTGCAGGGGGCATTGACAACCCGCATGTCCCCGATGACCCCGGCATCTTTATCACCAAGATCATTCCTGGTGGAGCTGCCGCCATGGACGGGAGGCTGGGGTGAGGTGGCTCGAAAGCAGGGCTGGGGGTGGCAGGGGCAGGATGAACATGAGTGGAAGAGGGCTGCCCGGCATGCGATGACCCTTTGGTTAGCTCTCAGAGGGGGCAGGGGAGGGGCGGCAGGGAGGGAAGGAAGGAGAGGTGGGAGAGGGAGTGGAGAGGCAGTGGTGGGGTGTCATGCTTCTCGGGCTTCCTCCTCAGGGTGAATGACTGTGTGCTGAGGGTGAATGAGGTGGACGTGTCGGAGGTGGTGCACAGCCGGGCCGTGGAGGCACTGAAGGAGGCCGGCCCCGTGGTGCGCTTGGTGGTGCGGAGGAGACAGCCCCCACCTGAGACCATCATGGAGGTCAACCTGCTCAAAGGGCCCAAAGGTGCAGCCCTCTACATACCTGTGCTCTGGCCAGAGACTCTGGGTGGCTCTGTAGGACATAGAAGGAGACAGCCTTACTCCTTGCTTGACCTCCCATCTCACTTTCCCTTACTGACCTCAGGATAGCAGCCTAGTGTCTGGGTTCCCCCAGGGCAGGGGGGGACGGTACAGGGAGGGGAGCTCCCCCTGAACCAGTGGGTTGGCTCTGGTGGTGAGTGGGGTCTGGCATTGACTGTGCACTCTAATTTCTCCTTGTGGTCCTCTCCAACTCCCTTCACTGCCCCTCCCCAGGCCTGGGTTTCAGCATTGCTGGGGGGATTGGCAACCAGCACATCCCAGGAGACAACAGCATCTATATCACCAAGATCATTGAGGGGGGTGCTGCTCAGAAGGACGGACGCCTACAGATCGGGGACCGGCTGCTGGCGGTGAGACAGCCTTTGGGGAGGCCCACATGATAGGGTGGGTGTGGAGGTGGGGTTCTAGTAGCCTCTCACTCCACCTGAACCTCATTCAGGGGCCAGCATTGTGGGGGAGGTTTCAAGAGCATCATCATCTGATGGGATGCCTGGGTGGCTCAGTCGGTTAGCTTCTGCCTTTGGTTCAGATCATGTCCTGGGGTCTTGGGATTGAGGCCCACTTCGGGCTCTTTGCTCCAGTGGGAAGCCTGCTTCTCCCTCTGCCTCTGCCCCTCCCCCTGCTTTTGTTCCCTCTTGCTGTGTCTCTCTCTGTCAAATAAATAAATAAAATCTTTAAGAATAAATAAATAGATAAAAAAGAGCATCATCGTCTGAGTTGCACACGCTCAGATACCAAGGCCCTAGTTCTTTTCATGGCCGGGGCTCCCATACCAGCTCTACTGCTCTCTCAGTGCTTGTCCGCTTCTCACAGCACTGTATGGGGCCTCCGTTAGACAGAGCACCGTTGAATTTCGCGGAAGCTCCCCGGAGAGGCCCTCCCTTCTCCCAAGTGCCAGTCCTAAGGCCTTTCATCTTCTAGGTGAACAACACCAATCTGCAGGATGTGAGGCACGAGGAAGCCGTGGCTTCACTGAAGAACACGTCTGATATGGTCTACCTAAAGGTGGCCAAGCCGGGCAGCCTCCACCTCAACGACATGTATGCACCCCCTGACTACGCCAGCAGTACGTACCCATCCCCCTTGTTCCCAGCCTGAAGCCCCAGCACCCTGGTTTCTGGAGGGGAAGGAATTCAAACTCCGTGTTCAGAGAGGGAGAGAGAGAGACAGAGAGCAATAGTGCTCAGGAGAACTGAGTCCAGATCCTCGCTCTGTCCCTTGTAGCTGGGTGCCCTTGGACGAGTCCCTTTTCCCTGTCTTCAGTTTTCTCTTCGGCAAAAAGGAGCTAATGATATATGGGCTGCCTTCCTCATAGAACTGCTGCAAGGATCAAATGAGATCATGGACAAGAAAGCCCTTGGAAAGCCGTATTAGGCTATAGAGATGTGAGGGATTATTATTAGTCACACCTCTAGTCATGCCTTTCTTTGTAGACTGCTTGACTTTAGCTCTTTCTAAGACTCACAGGAGTGAGCCCAGGATTCAGAAAGGGACTGTGGAGGAGGAACCCAGGGGTGGGGGTGAGGGGGTGGGGAGAGGGGAGGAGAGGCCTGAGGAATCAGCATCCCTCCGTGGCTTTTGTATCTCGGGTGGGGTGTGGGGCACGGTCCTTGATGGGGGTGAGGTAGGGACCTACAAAGAGTGGTCTCTGAACTTGTCCCTCCTTTTCTTGATTCCAGCTTTTACTGCCTTGGCTGACAACCACATAAGCCATAATTCCAGCCTGGGTTACCTTGGGGCTGTGGAGAGTAAGGTCAGCTACCCTGCTCCTCCTCAGGTTCCCCCTGCCCGTTACTCTCCAATCCCTAGGCACATGCTGGCTGAGGAGGACTTCACCAGGTAACCCCCTCCCCGCCGCCACCCCTTTAGCCTACTTAGGGATGAAGAGGATAGGAATCCGTTTCTGGCTAGCCACGGGTCTCCTTGTAGTATGGCCCAGAAGAGGAGAAGGCCCTCATCACTTCTCTTTGGGGTAGGCCCTCTCTCGGGCCCTAAGGGCCCGAGAGAGGGCCAGAAGGAGCTGCAGGGACAAGTTCCACCGTCAGGGGGCGTGCCAAGCGTGTGGCCCCGATCCGAAAGTACCGAGTTAAGGGGGAGAGGGGTGGAGCGCTTGGGGGGCTGAGGAGGTGGAAGCTGTGGGGGTTTCCTTCCCCGAGACAGTCACTGCCGTAGGGCACCCAGCTACAAGGGACGGAGCGAGAAAAGAGCAGTTGAGACGGTGGGGTTGGCGGGACGCTGGGGGGCTGGCGGGCCCCGTGGCCTCCCCGGGGACGGCCCCGCCCCACTCTGGCGGCGGTGGCGGTGGCGGGCCGTGGAACTGGTCCGGCCGGCCAGGGTTCCGGGGGACAGGTTTGCTGCGGGGTGGGGCCTGGGAGTCTGCAGTGGAGCCGGAAGGGTAGGCGGACGGGGTGGGGGACGGGCAGGGAGAGCTGGAGGAACCATGGAGAGGGCACGCAAGCTCTCAGGCTCCGGCTTGGCCCTGGGCTTGGGCACGGCCTCGGCCTCGGCCTGGAGGAGGGCTTCGCAGAGGTGGGCCTGGCCGCTCCGCTCCCTGCGGCCTGGAGGGGATGCCAGGTAGGAGGAGAGCAGGGATTTGAGCGAGAGCATCTGAGGCTCAGGGAGGGAGTCTTGCACCCAACACTGGGAGCAACAAAGGAGGAATCTTGGACCTGGGGCTCTTCTGATGAAAGATGCTTTCAAGTGAAGGCAGTGGGCCGGGAAAAGTGTGCTGAGGGTCGGGTTTTAAGGCTACGCAGGCACAAGCGGCTGTAGCTCTCTCTTGATGACACTGATCATTTCCAGAGGGATGCCTTAGACATAACATGGTTAGTGGCAGTTGGGAGTTTTCATGTGTTAACTCTCTTCTGTCGGGCTCCTCGGCTCCTTCTGGGGACCTGGGGTTTCTATACCTGTCTCCCACATCATCTGGCAAGGGCACATAGTAGTAGTGGGTGACCAAATCTGTCCTTGGGGAAGGTAGGAGGACTCACAGTTGGCGGGTGGAATTTCCAGACCGTGGAGGAGCATGTTTAAAGCAAGTAGGTACATTTTGCGGATGATGAGTGCGATCAACCCCAGGCTGGTTTCCAGCGCCCCTAACTGGTTCCCCTTGTTGTGGCCCAGGTCCATCACGCTGGTGGTAGGATAGGAGAATCTGGGAAGAAAGAGGATGAGGGAATGGGCTCTGAGGTAATATTCTCCAGACAGGGTAGGGTTGTGTTGAACCGAGAGAGTAGGGGACTGTCCACTGGGAAGCCAACTCCAAGCCGTCAGGAAGAAGGGAGGGAAGAGGAACTGAAACTTGGCACCTGGCAGAAAATAGCAGCCAAGCAGGTTTCGGGAGAGAAAGGAAGCAACAGGGTATCATACGTAAAGGAACCTACGTCATTCTACGGCAGTATGGGCCTTGTTCTAGGCTGGCCCTCACAGGGACAACAGTTTACATCCACCTTGTCCTTATCTTTCTGCTTCTTTCCCACCAGAGAGCCCCGCAAGATCATCCTGCACAAGGGCTCCACAGGCCTGGGCTTCAACATCGTAGGAGGAGAGGATGGAGAAGGCATTTTTGTCTCCTTCATCCTGGCAGGAGGCCCAGCTGACCTGAGTGGGGAGCTGCGCAGGGGAGACCGGATCTTATCGGTGAGAAGAAAAAGGAGAGGTGGGAGGATGGGAGCCATGCCAATCTAAAAGGGAGGAGGGGAGATCTTGCTTTCTCCAAAAAATGCTTCTTGAGATGGGGGAAGGCTGAGCTGGAGAAAACTGATATTCTCTTTATAGATGACCTTAGGGCGTGCCAGGGACTGAGCACAGACTTACCCTTGAGGAGGAAGTGAATGTGTGTTGGATCTCAACCCTGGTTGGCATTTGAGCCCCACAAAGATAATTATTACACTAAAGATGGCATATTCTTCATGGGCAAGGATAGGATATTGAGAAACGCATCTGAGTAGGCTTAGGGATGGACTACCCATCTCCCTCTCCTAACTGCTATGACAGAGGACTGCCTTTCTTGTTGTGGGAATGGCTCATAGCTCCTCTCTTTGGACAGGTGAATGGTGTGAACCTGAGGAATGCAACTCACGAGCAGGCTGCGGCTGCTCTGAAACGGGCTGGCCAGTCCGTCACCATTGTGGCCCAGTACAGACCTGAAGGTAGGAGATGGAAGGTTGGACAAGGATTTGGGGAATTTAGTCCAAAGGGGCGGCTTTTTGCCCTCATAGGTACCAAAGCTACTTGATCAGGTCTCTTCCACCCTAGCGCAGTAACCTCTTCCTGTCTTGTTTTCCTTCTGGACAGGGGTAGGTTTGGGGAGCTTTGGAGCATCTATCTGAGGCTGTGCTCAAAGCCTGCCTATCAAGGCTGCAACGCAGCAGAAGGCCAGTAGTGGGCAGCAACCTAGGGAAGGAAGCACACAGATTGGGGCGACTGGAAAAAGGCAAGGGGGAAGAGAGGGGAGACACAGGGCTCCGAGGCGAAAAGACGCAAATGTGTGCGGTGGAACGGGAGAAGAGTAACTCTCGGGTAGAAGGACCACAGGGAAGAAAAATAGGATCTCTATCTGGATCCAAACCCCATGACCCCCACTTCCTTCCTTTAATCAGGGTGACTGAAAGATCCATAAACGCACTGGAAAGGTGATGCTAGGCTGTCGGGACGGGCAGCCGGGAATGGACCCCCTCCCCCTACAGGGGGCCTTCTTTGTGTTCTCTGGAAGCGGGCCCCTGGCTGGGGCGAAAGGGCGGGGCTGGGTATGCAAATGAAGGCGTTTGATTGGCTGGGGCCGGCCAAGGCCCAGGTGCCGAGGTGAGCTGCTGGATGGCGCGCCCCAGTCAGACCGCCGGCGGGGTGGCCATTGGCGGGCCGAGCGCGGCCTCCAGCCGCACGCCCCGCCCCGTGACCCAGGCGGAGGGCGGCGGGCGCCCCCCCCCCCCCCCCCCCCCCGCGTCGCGCGCCTCAGGCGTCTCCTCCTCCCTCCTCCCCTCCCCCTCCCTCCTCCCCTCCTCCCGCGCGCCCCGCTTTGTGTCCGTGGTCTCCCGCGCGGGACGGAGGGGCTGGCCGGAGCTGGCGCTTTCTCGGCACTAGACCTGGACTCCAACCCGGCGCCAGGTGAGGTGGGGCGGACGAGGGTCAGGCCCCCTCGCAGTCCCCCCTGGCCTCTCTACGGTTCTGTTCTCAAACTCTCTCTTTTCCAACACTGCGTCCCCAACTCCTCTGCGCTCTCCCCGGAATCCCTTCGCCTCACGCCCCCAGCCCCGTGCGCTGCGCTGCTTGGGAGCCCCTGCTGAGCGTCCCTCCTGAGAGCCCCTCTCGGCCCCAGGAGAGCGCCGCCCGGGGCTGAGCGCCGGCTCTCCCGCCACGGGGCCCTGGGTGGTCTCCCCCTCTTTGCCATCACCTCTTCCCACTCACGAACCGGGCCCCTTTTCGCCCCAGGACCTCTGCCCTCTCCTCGGCCTCCTGCCCGCTGGCCGCTGTGTCCCCGCAGCTCCCTAATCCCTGTCCTCAGAGGAATTTTCTAACCGTCCTCCTCCCCCACACGCATTGGTCCGCCAAACCTGGCTACCTCGGGGAACCCCCGAGGCTGGCTTGGTAGTCTCGGGACCCCACCCCCATCCCCGCTTTTGTTTGTGAGGGTTTTCAGACCGCTCCCGACTCGTGTGGCCTCCCCCTCCTCTTTGTAAGCCCGGCCTTTGTCCCTTGGGGCCGCAGTGCCGGACTCCTTGGACACCTAGGCCCCGGGGGCCGGTCACTAAGGTGGAGGAAGGGACCTGTACCCGGCAGGTGCTCTGGTTCCGTGATGAGGAGAGGCCGGGAGCCCCTTCGCCGAGCTGTGAGGGATCTAAAGCGCCTACCTTTGTCCTTTCCACGCCCCCCACCCCCGCAACTTGTTCAGTGCCTTTAGGGAGGGCCTGAAGGGGAAGAAGAGAGGGGCCTGCCACCTTCTTTTCTAGGCTTCTGTGATGGGGCAGAAGTGTGGGAAGGTAACTAACAGGAGGACTTGTTGGTCCCGGGTCAAGGGAAAGAGGGATGCAAATGGACACTTTCAGTCCATTTTCTCTCCATGTTTTGGTGTTCAGTTAAGGACAAGAAAGACACCTTAGGGTTATTGGCTGGTTGTTGTTGTTTTTTTGTTTGTTTGTTTGTTTTTTATTTCTGCGTGTGCTCTTTGCTTCTCAGTGGAGAGCTATCCATCTGATTTTTATTAGCAACCAGTATTTATTATGTCATGCCCACAACTTAGACAACGGTCGGTTCTGCAAAGAAAATGATTTCTCTTGCATATTTGGGTGTGTGTGTGTGTGTGTGTCGGAGAAATTGATGTGTTTCTTTCGGTTTTGCTCTGTGATGTTGGGCATGTGGAAACAATACTGTGAATTTATCTGGTGGTAGGATGTTGGAAACTGGTGACTTCATATTTCTGTGAGTTTTATTGGGAGAATATATCTGGTTCACCTAAAAGGCTGCAAGTTGTCCAGGATAAAGGGATTCATTGCTGCCAACATGTATTGCTCTCTGAGCATATTTCTGAGAGTTTATAATGTATGTTGAGGTGCTGTCTTATGTCAGGTCTCTCTACCACTGGCTGAACAAAGCCTCTCTTAGGATTTAGTTGAACCACTGTTGGTAAGGCTCTGCCACTCCAGTCTTTCTTCTTTCTTTGCTTTGGTAAATCCAGCAGGGCCCCAACATGCAAAAAGCTTTTTTTGTTGTTGTTCCTTTCAAAAATGGCCCCTCAGAGACAGGTTTAGAGGGACTACCAAGCATTCGGTGTTGGGCTCTGAATTTTCTTTGATAAAGTGATGATAGCTTTTAAAAATAAGGACCCCATGTTGACCATTTTATGAATATATTAAATGCTGTTCTTGGGAAAATTGTATTACATGGCCATTTACAAAATGAATAATCCAAATATATGTCTGCTGGCCAAAATGGCAGAGACTGCATGTTATGGACCACATAAGTGTTCATTATTTGTGTTATTTTCACATAGAATGTGGGATCTGGAAAGGTTTTCGTACTCCAACCGGTCTTTGTGCAAACCGGAACAGCGACAGGAGAGCAAGGACGTGACTTGCCTAAGGCCATGAAGGGAAAGTTGCTCTGTGGGGGCGGGGAGGGGGGTATCAGCAATTGGTTTAGGTCTGAAGTCCACCAGTGGGGAAAAACCGTACTTGGGAATACCTGAGAGACCCAAGACCTACTTGGAGTGGAAGAACAACAACAGGAAAGGAACTGGGGAAATAAGAGAGACTAGGGAAAGAAAGATGTATGGGCAGGGGTAGATTAGTGGCCAGAGTGGCCACTGAGCTCCATTGCCAAGCCAGTGCAGTCTTTGGCTAGGTACCATTTAGCATGAGAGCTTAAAAAATAGCTTTGACTAATTAGAATGATCAGAGTAAGAATAATTTTTTCTTTTTTTTTTTTTTAAAGATTTTATTTATTTATTTGACAGAGAGAGATCACAAGTAGACGGAGAGGCAGGCAGAGAGAGAGAGAGAGAGGGAAGCAGGCTCCCTGCTGAGCAGAGAGCCCGATGCGGGACTCGATCCCAGGACCCTGAGATCATGACCTGAGCCGAAGGCAGCGGCTTAACCCACTGAGCCACCCAGGCGCCCCAATTTTTTCTTTTTTTAATGGCTTAATTGAGATATAATTCATTTACCATACAATGAGCCCATTTAGGTGTACAATTCATTGATTTTTAGTGTATCCACAAAGTTGTATATCCAGAGTCACAGTCAATTTTAGAACAGTTTCATTACCCCTCCCCTTTTAAAGATTTTATTTATTGATTTGACACCCTTTTAATACATAGAGAGGGTTTAAGCATTGGAAGTGTGTTAAGTGTAGGACAGTTGCTTCCTAGTGTATCTCCCCTGAGCACTTAGGGGCTGGATGGCAGCTTGATGGGAATGCTTTAACCTTGGGATTCTTTCATATATCTGGTTTATTCAGTGTGGGTTAAACACATAATGAAGATTAAAAACCATGTCTGTCTATTTGAACTTTGTATTGTGCCTAGCACAAGTATTTTTACAATGAAGCTTTGGAAAATATTAAAATAGAAATAGAAGTGCTAAATGGTAAGGTACCACAGTGAGAGATGCTATGTAATAGTTTCACTCTTGATTGCTCCAAACTGTTGTGGACACAGCAATCCTACCTATTAGCTAAAAATAGCATGATGTTCTTGGGCATGTATAATCCTGCTTAAAATTCAAATTGAAAATTTAAACAACTGGCTCTTGGCAAAGGCTCTCTCCCAGTCTATTCTAAAATGAAAAATATTTTTCTTTGATTTGTGAAATTGCTCCACCAAGGGAAGTATGGGCGTCACATTATAACATTTTAATTTAGAAAGTATCTCCTACATTTTCCCCCCTAGTTACTTTGTTTCAGCCTCTGTTTATAAGCTGAGCTAGTATTTTTCTGGAAAGCCCTTTTGTTTTTAGAGTAAAACCTGAGCCCCAAATCAGGAGGTAAGCCAGAAATTGGTCACTACATAGCTAAACTGGGAATTGCTCATTTATGACCAGAAATTTTCACCTGGCATGTAAATCCAGACAGGCTGGGGTGAAGGGAATGAGAGAGAATCTGTTTTCCATACTTATTTCAAAGTGCTGAATAAGCACACTTTCCCCATGGAAATGCCTTTGGATGAGACCTGAAAGAATTAAGGATCAGTGATGATAATAACTGGAAAGCATAAAAGTAACATCATTCCCATAACATTTATTAACCGTCCCATCTCCTCTGTTGGAGAATTGAAGATGTAACCATAGCTGTTACCATATCAGCATGATCTCTCTTGAGAGCACAGAGGTGAAGGTTAATCAAGGCAAAGAATTCAACTCCTGAAGTTCCTTTTGCTATCCTAAAAGAAAACTGATATAGGGAAGGCAGAAAATGAAGTGCTGTTAACAGCATTTCTGCACTGAACAGTTTAAAGGCAGCTCGTTTTGTATTCATGCTCGTGTCCCCACCACGTAGACTAGAGCCTGTCCCATGGTTTGTTCTATTGAATTATTAACTCTATGTTCCAGATGGTTTTGTGAGCATCAATCTTCAGAATATCCCTGTAGGATAGGTGGTATCATCCCCATTTTACAGATGAGGAAGGTGAGGGTCAGAGAGGGTATGTGACTTGCTCAAG